GCTTAACACCCCTATTCTGAATTTAAAAAACGTCCTGGTTCCTCTTGACACAAACAGGGTGACGATATCAGGCTCGCCCCATTTCTGTGATATTCTCTCTCTCCTTTGGAGGGCACAATTAAAAAGAATAATAAAGTTTCACCTCCTTGCCTTTCCTCAGGAACAACCTGCGTACACTCGGTCTAGTGTCGGTTTGAAACTTCTTTTATATTTTAAGTGAAAACCTGTTTGGCTAGAGAGGCGTTTTTTTGCTTCGTCTCGCTTTTATTGTTCTGTGTTGGAATTACATTGATTTTTGTAAATACCGCCTGGAGATGCCCTTTGGAACAAAAGGGCAGCTTCTAAATTCTCAAAATATAATCGTTAAATCAATGGGCAGACTGGAAATCTTTCCCAAGGGAAGTGTGGATGTTTTCAGACAGATCTATCCAGGAGGTGAATCATTGTGTGTGGCTAGTTGGCCAAAAACCTGGTTGGTCCTTGGGGTCTGAGCTGATGGACAGTAAGAAACACAGGGGTCCCTTCTACTTGTCCCTGATACTTTCCATCAGCTGTTTCACCAGAAGTGTCCCAGCAACAAAACGCAACACAACACACGAGGAAAAGCAAAGACCTTTCAGATGGAACCAAAGAACTCAGCCAGGTTGACCAAGCCTTAATGCTCTTTTGCAAACCAAACAAGGAGCCATCTTAATGTGGAGTTTCAGGTGCTCTATAGGTCAGTGGTGGCAAACCTATGGCACGCGTGCCAGAGGCGGCACACGGAGCCCTCTCTGTGGGCACGCGCCATCACCCTAGCACACGTGGTCTCTAAAAGTTCACCATCACTGGCTAAGGCCAGCCAGCCTGGAGCCACCATTGGGGAGCCCACCATCCCACCTGCCAGAGACCCCCTGGATCCCCACCAACCCTGCCCTGCCGGTATCCCTCCCTATAAGCAACATCGAGGTGGCCACGCCCACCCGTCATGCCCACCCAGTCTGCCATGACTACTGCAGCCACACCCATCCGGTGGCCACGCCCACCCAGTCTGCCACGCCCACTGTAGCTGCGTCCGCCAAGTGGACCATGCCCACCCGGCGATACATAAGTGAGTTTTGGGTTGCAGTTTGGGCACCCGGTCTCTAAAAGGTTCGCCATCACTGCTATAGGTAGTCCTTGATTTACAAGAGTTTTGTTTAGGGACCGTTTGAAGTTACAACAGCACGAAAAAAAGTGATTTATGACCACTTTTCACACTTAACAACCGTTGCAGCATCCCCAGGATCACGTGATCAAAATTCAGCCGCTTGGCAACTGGCTCATATTTATGACAGCTGCCCCATCCTGGGTAATATTGTCCTCTTTTGCAACCTTCTGACAAGCAAAGTCAATGGGGAAGCCAGATTCATTTAGCAACCATGATAGTAACTTAACACTGCAGTGGTTGACTTAACTGTGGGAAGAAAGTAAAATGGGGTAAAACTCACTGAAAAACTGTCTTGCTTAACAACGGGATTTTGGACTCAATTGTGGTCTTAAGTCAAGGACTGTCCGGTATTAAATTCCGGCATTCAGTTCCAGAGGAGGGACTGAAAGTAGCCTGAATGCTTTTTCAATTGTTTTCTGTAATAATCTGGGCTGCGACAACCTTATTTTTTTAAGAGACTTAATTCAGACCCCAGGTATGAAATTTCCCTGTATGGGCTTCCAATGAATGACATTTATTTTTATGCACTCCCCTTAATCACCTGGGAATTTTAAGATTTCAATCATGACCCCCTTTTCCCTTCTGTCCTTCAAGCTGTCCATAGTCATGTTTTATCCGACCTTGCATCATTTTTGTTGCCCGTCTCTGGATTTGCCGCTCAATCTTATCAATATCTCTTTTTAGGTGAGGTCTCCAGAACTGGACACAGTACTCCAAGTGGGGTCTGACTAAAGCCCTAGAGTCCCTTTTCCTGCTGGTGATTCTTTTAGTGATACATCCCAGGATTTTGGTTGCCTTCACAGCTGCCTGGCCATATTGATTGCTCATTTTGCAGTCATCCAGAAGGATAGAATCAAGATCACGTGAAGGGCTAATACCACTTTACAAGGCCTTGGTAAGACCACACTTGGAATACTGCATCCAGCGTTGGTCACCACGATGTAAAAAAGATGTTGAGACTCTAGAAAGAGTACAGAGAAGAGCAACAAAGATGATTAGGGAGGTGGAGGCTGAAACATATGAAGAACTGTCTAGTTTAATGAAAAGAAGGACTAGGGGGTGACATAATAGCAGTCTTCCAATATTTGAGGGGTTGCCACAAAGAAGAGGGGGTCAAGCTATTCTCCAAAGCACCTGAAGGCAGGACAAGAAGCAGTGGATGGAAACTTAACAAGGAGAGAAGCAACCTGGAATTATGGAAAAAATTTCTGAGAGTGAGAACAATTAACTGGTGCAATGGCTTCCCTCCAGTGGTGGATGCTCCACCACTGGAGGTTTTTAAGAAAAGACTGGGCAGCCATTTGTCTGGAATTGTGTAAGGTCTCCTGGGGGTTGGACTAGAAAACCTCCAAGGTCCATTCCAACTGTTATTCTGTTATCTGCAATGAGTGCTCCTAAATCTTTTTTCTTCTATTATTCTAACAACCAGCGCTTGTTTTTCCCCAAGTGTGTAATCTTACATTTAGAAACAATGAACTACAATTTCCACATTTCTGACCAATTTTTCAGCGATGCCAAATCATTTTCCATGTTATGAATACCCCATCAACTCTATTACACACCTTTGTGTCATCAGCAAAAAACAAACAAGCCAACATTACCTAGCAATCCTTCTGTTATATCACTTACAAACACACTGAACAGGACCTAGGACTGAGCCTTGTGGTACATCACTTGTGACTGATCTCTGTTCACTGACCCATTAACAACCACACGCTGGGATTTATCCCTGAGCCAATTTCTTATCGATTGAAACACACGGTGGCTAAAAGCTGGCCTGTACAACTTCTTAATGGGCTTGTTAGGTGGCACTGTATCAAATGCTTTGCTAAAATTCTTATCAAGATTTACTAAAATTCTTCATGAGTTTACTCAAGTGCCGAATGCTTTTGGCATCCGTGCATACGGTTGCAGCAAATAGCCTCGCTCTGATCTCTCCTGCACTTTCAGCCTGAATTCAAACCCAGTCTCAAACTATGATTGTAGAAGCAGAAATAAATGTTCCCAATTCTGCAATCTGACTGCACTAAATCCAAACCTACTAGATTCAAGAAAGCATCGAGTTCAGCAAGAGATAGAGCAAGCAATGAACTGGATTTTTTTTTAAAAAAATCAGATAATCCATCAGGTCATTCATAATTTCAGTGGAGAGGAAATGTTAGATGTCGGGGCGGGGGCACTGGGGGATAAAGAACAATTATTGTGGGCAAAGACCAGCTTGGCAACTGGCATGTCCTTTTGATGGTTGCAGTGTCATGTGATCAGACCTTCCAACTAGCTACGTCAACGGGGAAGCCAGATTCATTTTACAACCATGGTACTAATACCGGAGTGATTTACTTAACAACGGTAGTAAGAAAGGTTGTAAAATGAGGCAAAACTCACTTAACTGTCTTGCTTAGCAACATAAAATTTTTGGCTCAAGTGTGGTCGTTAAGTCAAGGAATACCTGTAATTCTTATTTCTCAATTCTTTCTGTTCCCTTAGTTTTTAGCTACATGTTGTCAATCTATGACTGCTAAATCTTTGGGACAGTATATTTGAAAATCCAACATCATGAACTATAGAACATTATTAAAGAAATCTAGAAAAAGAGCAAGACTGTTTCATTTAGCAGAGATTACCTATAGGCTGGATTCTAATAATTGAAGTATTTACTGTTTGGGCATTCAAGAACATTCACATTGACAGAATTTTACAACATGCTTAATTAACTAGGTCAAATCTGCAGTTCCACCACCATCCTAAGTTTGCTAAGTAGACTTACTATCATTGTTTTGTGCCACTCATAATGTTCTGGAAGCAGGCAAACTGGGTTTTTTCTTTCTTTCAGCAACAACCTCCCAACTCTTATCTGAAATTTGTTTCAGTTGTGAAATTTTATCTCAGAACCGTGAGATAAAAGTCACTTTATGAGCAGAGATGACATTACAAACTCAGCTTTCTTAGCTCAACCTGTTAGCTGCTCTGACTGATCTTGAAACAGTTAAGCAGCAAACTGTTTGGAAAGTGAATGGAAGACCGCTAGAATATTCCCAGAGGGCTGTAGTCTAAACTGGAAACTTGGAACATACATCCTACAAATTATTTTTGAGTGGTGGCCAAGAAAAGAAGATCAAATCTCCTTGTTTCAACTCAGAAAATTGTGGTTGGACACTGAGAACAGAAGGCTAGACAGCTACGGCTTTAGGCTCCGAGGTTTTTGTTATGTTGTTAATAACGAGATGCGAGCCTCGAAAGTACTAAGAATGTGATTTTTTTTAATGGTTTGATTGAATACAAATAACCCATGAGTATTGTCAACGCAGACAAACAGATAAAATTCCTGCCCCATGTAGGATCTCTGGAGCATCAGTGCTTTCAGAGGTACATGAAGTTACATCAGCTAAAAAGGGAAAATGCTCTTCATAACATCTTACATTTCCTCAGGCAACACTCAGACACCACTTATGGAGGGAAACAGATAAGTATCAGCAACAACTCTTTCATAGACCAAAGCAGCCTTTTCAAATGTTGAAAAAAAATTAACTAAAAATAAAAACAAACTAAAATAGTATTGTTGTGCAATCTTATGTTTTTTAACAATCAAATAACCTCAGCATTTTTCCAACTGACATACTAAGCTGCACACACTAAGCTGCACCCTCTGCATGTCGGGCAATCACAATAATCTTGACTATACAGGAAGGCAGGTGCTTATGTTACAACGGGGGGTCTCCAAACTTGACAACTTGTGGACTTCAACTCCCAGAATCCCCCAGCCAGCATGCGCCCTGGGAATTGAAGTCCACTAGTCTTACAGTCGCCAAGTTTGGAGAGCCCTGTGTTAAAGCCAAAGAATACCACAAAAAACAGGGCCTCCTTCCCCTGTCACCATCACCTGTCACCATCAAATTTTGGAAGCAGAAAATACCTGCCCTCTCACAGAATTAGATCCTAAGGTAACATCCAAGTCATCCACTGAGGAAATCATCAGGCAAACGTCATAGCTACCTTCTTGGTAAACAGGCACAGATTTTCCACATCTCCCCCAACCAGGAAGGCTCTTTTTAATCATTATTGTTTCGACCACTAGAACAATCCACCAGAGCATTTGTTTCGTCCTGAAAGGAAGAAAAGAGCCCTTTTGCCAGATGCCGATGATCAACCTGACCCAGCCTCTTTTCTTCCGCTTCCTTTAAATCAGCCTCTTTCCATTCCAAGATTCTCCATTTTCCTCTCTCAATATGAAAACTGTCCGGCTTTCTTTTGCTCTATAGGTAAGCAATTCAGTCCGCTCGACTGAGGCTTGTTTTGGGATTCTTATCAAAAGGCAGAGGAGGGGTGCTTTCCTGCAGGGCCTGCCCTTCTCCCGCCCCCCTTCTTCCTTTTCGGCTGACTTTGGGACTCCGAATTCAGCGTTTCCAACCAGAAAGCATCAAAGGATCCCGGAGCCTGATAACCTGGCTCCTGATGATCTAGGGGGTCTTTGCTCAGCAAAACACAAATGGCAGGGATATTTCGTTTCACAGTCAAGGGATCCAGGCCGGCCTCTGGCACAATCGGTTCCCAGATCTCCTCTATTTGCTGAAAGAACACTTTTGTGATCTGATGAAGATCTTTGAGCCGCCGCTTCATAATCTCCACGCACGTGATGGTCTTGTTGATGGCTTTGCCAACTCCGCTGAAGAGCATCTGTCTCGTCGTCTCTTGTTCCATCTTGCCAATGGCATAGCCCATCAGGTTCCGGATTTTGCTTCCGTCCTTCACTTTCATTTCAATGATGTCTGAGGGCAAGCTGGTGAAAGGGAGGGGAGAAGGCTTCTCCACTGCCTTGGACTTCTGGTAGTTCTCCATGGTTTGCTGTAAGGAACAAATAGCATTTCAGGATCTAATTATGCTGTAGGGTTACAGATGGAGAGTCTTAGAACAGGGCTTTTCAACCAGTAGTATGGGTACCACCTGTGGTACATTGGCACCTGGCAGGTGGTACGCGACCATCCTAGAATGGTAGTGGGGGAGGGGAATGAGCTGAACCGGTGGCAGCACCGCACAAGCCTGAGAGAGAGATGGCTGGAGCTGCAGGGCTGTCAGGGCTCAGCGGAAGCGCCAGGATCAGCGCTTCTTTGGGACTGTCAGGGCTCAGCGGAAGCACCAGGATCAGCGCCAGGCTCCAGCTGGAGCTCGGCGCTGATCCTGGCGCTTCTGGTGAGCACAGAAGAAGCACCAATCACCTGGAATGTTGCAGCATCTCCAGGGTCTTGTGATTTACATTCAGATGCTTGGCAACTGATTCATATTTATGACGGTCAGTGTCCCAGGATCATGTGAAGTGACCAAAACCTGCTGCAACCACCCAGCAGATGGGGGGGGGGGAATAAAAACCAAACACCCCCCCACACCACCCCCGCTGCCAATCCTCAACAGAAATGCTCACAACAATGAAAACCTTGGACAGGAGGAAGAGCGCCGCCGGGTGGGCAGGCAGGTGTCTTGCTCGGCTGTGGCTTGGGGGGCACTTTTTTCAGTGCCATTGTAACTTCGAACAATCACTAAGCGAACTGTTGTAAGTCGAGGACTACCTGTACTTTATCACTTTTTTTCTTTTTGGGGGGGGTTATCAAGTTTTTGACACCTTGCTAGGCGACTGGTGGTACTCGGATATTCCCATATCCTGAAAGTGGCACAATGGGTGAAAAGGTTGAAAAGCCCTGTCTTAGAAATCTGGGAATTTACCCTGCTGAACAGATCAAGGTCTATCCCCAGTCCCTTGTTCCATCTTCAAGGGTGATAAAAACCCTTCAGGCATGGGCCCAGGTTTGTGCTAGCAGAAAGGGGTCTGCTGCAGACCATGGTGATCAAGACATTCCAGCTGGTGGGGTCCAGGAGAAGAGCGTTTTCTGCTCTGGCTTCTGCCCTTTGAAATATCATCCACCACCCCCCAGGTGAGATTTGCACACGTCCTGAAAGGGCCTGAAGATCTGGCTCTGCCAACAGGCCTGGGGCCCCAATTGGGGCATCTCACTCTGGAGGTGGCTAATGTGCTAAGACCCCACCTTTTGTGCATCTTCTTCCCTTCCTTCCCAGCTTTCAATTTTAACTTAATTCTAGTGTTAATATTTATGGTTGTTATGCTTAAATGTTTTATCTTGTGCTTTTTTAAAATTGTAAGCTGCTTAGGGTCGGCTCTAGGCTAGAGGGGTGGCATATAAGCCCAATAAATAATAAGAATAAAAGAAAAAAAGGGAAGGAGATAACTGTGCAATGAAACAATAATTATCGAAAACACTGTTTAGCAAAGACAAGCCAGGTCAATGTTTTAACTCATTCTAAGGTGCCTTCATCACATTAAAGCATCCTTATTCCTGCCCTTATTCACACCCTTGTTAATAATGCATAAAAGGGAAAGCTTCAGTCACCCATTTATAACTAATGCTCTTGGCTTGCTTTCAAAAGTTGTGGGTGCCGCATCACTGGAGGCTTTCAAGAAGAGACTGGACAGCCATTTGTCTGATATGCTATAGGGTCCCCTGCTCGAGCAATGGGTTAGACTAGAAACAGATCATTGGGACCTTGGGAGTCCCAGTGGACGATCACTTAAACATGAGCCAGCCGTTTGCAGCAGCAGCAGCCAAAAAAGCTAATACAATCTTGGGTTGTATAAACAGAGGCATAGAATCAAAATCAGGTGAAGTATTAGTACCACTTTATAAAGCCTTAGTAAGGCCACACCTGGAATACTACAGCCAGTTTCGGTCGTCCCATTACAAAATAGATGTTGAGACTTTGGAAAAAGTGCAAAGAGCAACTAAGACGATTAAAGGCCTGGAGACTAAAACATATGAAGAATGGTTGCAGGAATTGGGTATGGCCAGTTTAGAGAAAAGAAGGACCAGGGGTAATATGAGAGCAGTATTCCAGGATTTGAGGGGCTGCCACAAAAAAGAAGGGGTGAACCTATTCTCCAAAGGAGCTGAAGGCAAGACAAGAAACAATAGATGGAAACTAATCAAGGAGCGAAGCAACCTGGAATTAAGGAGAAACTTACTAACAGTGAGAACAGTCAATCAATGGAACAACTTGCCACCAGAAGTTGTGGGTGTTCCAACACTGGAGGCTTTTAAGAAGAGACTGGACAGTCACTTGTCTGAAATGGTATAAGTCAGGGGTCCCGAACCCCCGGTCCATGGACCAGTACCGGACCACAGCATGCCAGTAACTGGTCCGCACAAACAAAGCCTCATCCGCGGGATGCAGGCAGCACACAAAACCACGCACCCTCCAGTCCGTGGAAAAACCTCTCTCCATGGAACCGGTCTCTGGTGCCCAAAAGGTGGGGACGTCTGGTATAAGTGCTAGAAGACCTCCAAAATCCCTTCCAACTCTGTGATTCTATGTAATGTTGCTTATGTGCAGCAAGTGAATTTTAATTTTAAGCCATCCAAAGACACTTTGCAGATTGAGATGGGGCAGAATATAAATGTAATAAAAATAAATGTTTTATTAAGCAGAGCAGGCAAACAAGTGTGTGCTGGTTTACCTTTAAGCCTTCTTCATTAATATCTCATGTTCAACAATCAGTGCTATGCAAATCTAGAAGAAAATGTTCTGTCATTTAAGCCATCAATTTTAATCAGTTGATGCAATCAGTATTCAATTAATCACACAACTCCATCCTGCTCTCATTTCCTTAGAAAGTAAGGACGAGTTGCCGATGTACTTTTGACTTAACCATTTATTCAGTGATCATTTGAAGTCACAAGGGCAGTGGGGGAAAAAAAATGACAAAATCATTTTTCACACTGCAGCCTCCCCAAGGTCACGTGATCAAAATCCAGGTGCTTGGCAACTGTCTCACATTGACCGCGTGATCCTTTTGTAACCTTCTGACAAGCAAAGTCAATGGGGAAGCCAGATTCACTTAACGACCGGGTGACTAATTTAACAACCCCACTGATTTGCTTAACGACGGTGGCAAGAAAGGTTGTAAAATGGGGCAAAGCTCACAACAGCTGTCATGCTTAGCAACGGGAATTTGGGGCTCAGTTGTGGTCCTAAGTCGAGGGTTACCTATATTAGTAAGTTACGATTGTAAAATATTAATTGGACTGCTACCTTTTACGCATATTATTTGGATGGCAGTGAAACAATTCACTAATTATTCCTGAATTACTGTAGTGAAATAATATTACTTAAGACTGTCACTCTGTGCATATTATCTGGATTGCAATGAGAACCATTCAGTAATATTCCTGAATATATGCGCGAATTATTGTGGTGAAGTAAACTCACCAATATTAGTCAATTGCTGATAATGAAATAATATCGCAGATATTTTGGTTCGTTTGAATTGGATCCCCATCTTTTGCAGTGTATTGTATAAATCAGTGTTTCTCAACCTTGATAATTTTAAGGCATGTGGACTTCAACTCCCAGAATTCCACAGCCAGCATTGCTGGCTGTGGAATTCTGGGAGTTGAAGTCCACATGCCTTAAAATTGTCAAGGTTGAGAAACACTGGTATAAATGGTCTTCATTGGGGGGGGGGAATTTTGGCTCGGTCTTTCTCTCAGGCCAGGCAGGCCCACCTCGCAGGGTTGTTGTGGGGGAAAATAGGATCAGGCAAATTTGCTACCTCGAGCTATCCCAAATATATAAAAAGCAGGATAAAAAATACCGTAAAGGCGAAATAAAAATTCATAAATGAAATAAAAACGCACCTCACGGCAACTCGCCGAGCCGCGGATTCCCCTCAGAACTGCTGAGGGACCAACCCGGGCTGACCCAGAAACATGTGAACGCGGCCCCGGACCTTCTTCGCCCCACCACTGGTCTCCCTAGGCCTCGGGCACCCACTCCCATCATCCCCAGCCCACACCTTCCTCCGCTCACCAATTGCCGCCGCCGCCACCGGCGCCGCCGGGCCGCAACCAAAATGGCGCCCTCCCGGCTTCCTCAGCGCGAATGAAGGACCACGCATGCGCCACAGCGCAGAGTGCGGGAAAGACTCGCGCCGGCGCAAAGCGGGAGGGCCGCCCTTTGCTTCTTATTGGCCAGAGCGGCTGTGGGTGGGACTCGCTCCTCCGGAACGCCTCTGTCACGTGGCTGTAGATGCTTGTAAAAACTATGCAAGATTTGGTTCCTCCTTAACCAAGAAACGTGGTTTATCGTGACTCAGGTTTTTCCCATAGTTCAGCTTTTTGTATAAATCTGCTTGGGGATTGCTCTTACTGCGGTGATCGCTTTCATCAATATTTTTAATTGTTTGCAGTCAAGGCTCTTGCAATTGTATTTGTGTATATTGGAGGTGGTTACCCTTTGAGAGCTGTATGCGTTTTAATGCATGCTGATTAGTGTACATTTAAAGTACACATTTAAAGTCGCGGTGGTTCGAATACGGCTTCGCGACTGACAACAACAAAAGTACAATAAAGTTATTATTCTAGCTGTACCCGGCCATGCGTTGCTGTGGCTCAGTCTGGTTAAATGGAAAAGAAAGAAATGCTTGTGGGTATACAATATTGTTTGTTGTTCCATTGTCTGTGCATCAATTCCAACGCAATGTCACACGAAATAATTAAATCAAAATGAAAATAAATCGAAATCTATGAAAGTTCAATTTAACAATGCAATCGGAAACATTGAAATGGAATCGTATAATTGGAAATTTGGAAATTGTAAATGGATTGTAAAACGAAAACATTGAAATGGAATTGTAAAATCATAGCGTGTGTCGCTTTTACGTCCAACAGATGGCGCTGTTTTTCAAAAACATGTTTTACCTGTCACAGGTGTGACATCTATATAATATAGGTATATAAAATCACGCACGTATTCGAATGCAACATTGTGTCAAA